CTGTCCAACGCACAGTAAGATTACAAGTCTTCTTCCATCATCAAGAATCTCAGCGTCTGCGCTCATCAGCGCTTGTTTCCAACATCAAGTTCAACACCCTTCAGGTAAGCATCTACTATAGCTCGCTCTCTCTCCCTCTTATCTCTGTTTCTCATTTGATGGTTCTGGTCTTCACTCTTCAGTCTTCCTCTTCTCTCACATGCGCACTCCCTACTACTAACACACAGATGAGGATCAACTCTGAATACTACTCACTGCCTTATTACTAATAACTACTAACTACGTTGCCTCCTTGTGCCGGCGCAGCTATGGCTGCCTTCTTCTCTGCCAGCGTCTACTTCCTCTCTCTCATCACGCTCCGCACGCTCTCTGGCATAGCGCAGCTCCCACGCTTGCGCACAAGTGCACAAGCACTTCCACACTCTCGTGCGAATGAGCATTTTTCCGAATGGTAGGCTGGCCAGTCCTTTTGTAGTCTTGGAATGCACTTCAACTCGTGCCAGAGTCTGCTTCCTGGGGCCTGACTGGTCCCGGTACCACATCCCTACGGCCTGTCTGCTTCTGAATGTCAAGGCCTGGAACCTTCCCGAATTTCCATGGGTCTGCTGCTGCTTGGACCTTTGGGTCATGACTTTTCATTTGAGAACATGACTTTTGACTGTGGATAGTGACTCCTGCCTGTGGGTCACGACTTTTGCCTGTGTTACTGCCTTTACTCGTGGGATGTGACTCTTCAATATGATTTTTCATTAAGAAACGTGACTCCTGTCTTTGAGACATGACTCCTACTTGTGAACTTGCCTTTTCACTCGTGGGGTGTGACTCCTCTGAATGGCTTTTATTATGAGACATGACTCTTGTCCCTGAGATGCGACTGTTTGCTGGGTGCCTGTTGGAACAGACTGCTGAGGTACCCGATTGTGACTTTTCTGAGTTTGACAGACTCAGCCTTTTCTTGACCTGGACATCTGACCCTGAGATCCGAATTTGGGGTCTAAATCGTTGAAGGCCTTTCACAACACAATAGGAAAAGAAAAATAGGGTCGAAAAGGGAAATGAAAATAGGAGTACCTTAAACCGCTAGTACATGGCCCAGAGAATTGTTCGTCACCTACTCCGAAAAAGTTGGAGCCGGCGCGCCGTCGATAAAATATATTGGGGTTCGGCATAGTGTTTCGGCCTCCGAACAGGCCCACGGCGGATGTATGGCATGTACTGGTGGTTTAAACCGCCACTACACGGCCCCAGCCTTGCAAGATGTCTTCATTACCGGCTCCTAAAATTCCGGAGGCTCGGGGCTACTGGACCACTATCGCTGGCTGCGCCAGCCGAAAAAGAAAAAAAAAACTGCACCACTGGTGGTTCGGAAAAGCTTGGCCCACAGTGTGGTGCAGCCAGACCCGGGTGTACTGGTGTTAGAAACAGCAAAAAAAAATAGCAGAGCTCAATTTGTCACTGCACCCAGAGTCTGCACTACAGTAAGTAAGAGAGGAGATGGTCCTATGGAGACATCGGGAACTGGGGGCCCTCCAAATCTGGGCTACAACGATGGACCATGCATTGAATGAAACGCTGTCCCTGCATTAAAGCCAACAACAGAGCAAGAACCATTGAGTGCCCTATGGAAGTAGGAGATCTATCAGCTAGAAGGTCAGATGCTAGTGGGATGTTCGAAATAGCCCAGGGTTTCTGTGAAGAACTGTACCAATTGAAAACACCATCTTGCACACCTAGGGTGAATCGAAATGCTAGAACAAAAATGGCTGAAGATCTAGGAGAAGACATCATAGACAAACAAGACAACGAGCTAAGACCATCCCATCTCCAACGAAGAGAGACTTTTCTCTCTGCATGAAATGAACAATAATGAATCGCCTCACATGGGTAGAATTTTGGCCTGAGATTGGAGACAACCTCCTGGTTTAAGGGGACAGCTGGGACGAAGGCGGCATGGGAGAATTCCTCAGCAACAGTGTAGTGACACTAGTAGATAAAAAAAGGGGCGTTGGAGGATATTTGGGACTAGAGATCCATCTCCCCTTGACACTCCCATATAAGATTGTGGACAAAGCAGTTGTTCTCCTAGTACTAGCCCTTACAAACCATGCACATTGATCACGCAGGATTTGAAACGCACCGCTGCATCCTAGACAATGTATCGACACTGAAGCGGCAATTGGAAAAGCAAGTGCTAGACAATGTATGGGGACCAGCTGCATTCTTACTATATATTCTTCTCTCAATATTCTTTTATCACACACTACCTACCCCGAGTTATGTACTCTGGGTTTTAGGGTCTTTCTACATCTGACAGAGGAACAGCCTTAAAGCACCAGTACACCACACATTGGCCCACAGGTGTCAGCATGAAACCCGCACCAGTTCGGAGGTCACCAATTTTTTTTTTTCCAAGGGCGCTCCACGCTGGGCGGCCCCTCCGAGTTTTGCTTGTGACGAAAAAAGCTTTCTGCAAGGTTGGGGCTGTGAAACGGTTTCACTCAGTTGACACGACTGTGCAGACACAGAGATTCGATCCCCAGACCTCTGCCCTAACCCTGTACATTGAACCTGTGTGCTGAGTGAGATTCGATCCCTAGACCTATCCTATACCTGTACATAGACTCAGTGACCTGAGTAGGATTCGATCCCTAGACCTGCCCCACGTCCTAGGCTAGTCTGTAGGTCAGACAGTAGGACTTGATCCCTAGGTCTGTAGATTAGGAGCTCGGTCTGTTACCGTTAGGCTTAGGAAGGTCTGTTCTAGAAGTCTCTATCTGAGTCTACTGAGGCCTAGAGTCTGTCTGTAAGTCTGTAGGCTCTAGAAGGTCGTAGATCCCTGTAGGCCAGTCCAGTCAGCAAGTACTAGGGGTAGGGGCTGCACGTGGGGAAGGTTCTGGAGCACGCTGTGGGTTTCACACGTTTTGGCCAAGAAGGCCAAACGTCTGGAAACTTCCCTGGGCCACACGTTTTGGCCCAGGTCCACACGTTTTGAGGCAGGCCCGGGTACCTCCAAAGAGGTATAAATAAAGAGGCAGCGTCCAGCCATTCGTTCATTCGCCTGTGTGCTATGCGGAAGAGCTGCCTTGGTATCTTGTGCGTGGAGGACTGCAGGTGCCCGGAGAAGAAGTGGGTTGTGAAGAAGGTAGCGGCCATAGCGAACCAGGGAGAGAGACACCGGCGGCCATAGCCAGGAGGAGGAAGACGACGGCGGCCATAGCCGCCCAGCTGTTGGTGCAGACAGGGTGTACAGAGTGTGTGTGTCTGTGCAGCGTGGACATTCAGGGTGATCCTTGTACGTGCGTGCATGTGAGAGAGAGGGAGAGTGAGGCTGGTTGTAGAGACAGTGTTCGGCGGCCATAGCCGCAAGTTGTACAGTTGATCTGAACAAAGTTTAAGAGCAAGTTCGTTGTTGATTCTGAGTTCACGAGTTTGGTTTGCCATCGGTTCTCATGTATGCATGTTGTGAGCAAGTCCAGAGTCGAGTCTGATAACTACTCTATCCTAAGGTTAACCGGCCAGAAGGGACAGGCCGACTTTCTCAGTCGGTGAATCTGAAATACGTCACACATGGGGCCGTGGTGATCAAATGGATGCTGCGACCTAGATCAGTTGGTTTAGCACGTAAGTGGTACACAGGTGGCCGTGGGTTGGCCTTCCCTTCTTGAGTTCTGAAATGTCTAAATCTACAACACATAAATCTGTGCATTATGCAAGGCCTTCTCTTTTTTTTTTTTTCCAAAAAAAAATTCCAAAAAAAAAAAAAGATGCAATGAACTAAGTTTAGATCCACATTGCCACGGGCATGGGTCGTAACTTTTGGTCAAAAGTGCTGAAACAGGGGTCAAAAGTAACGCCCCAAGTCTGAGAAATGCCCCGGAAAGTACCTAGGGTCAAGGGGTACGCAGGGCTGAGTCAGAATCAGCAGCCAGAGGACCCATGTGAGTTAGTTGACTCTTGGAAAATCAAGAGTCAGACCAAGCACGGGAAAAGCAGGCCCATAGTCAAAGTCAACCCAGTAGTCAGCCTCGGCCAAAGATCAGATGCACATCAATTGTCTGCAGGATCCGGAAGATTCCAGTCCCGACTGGGAAAAGGTACTGCTGCTTCAAGGCTGCATCCAGGCCATCGAGATCGGGCAAATCTGAAGCGTTGACACTGCCAAAGGGAAGACTGGTCAACGCTACAAAAGGTCAGTCCGACCACAGGGGAGGGCATTCTGCCTTGGACTGACGTGAGGCTGCTGGAGTGTGATGCTGGTGCTTGAAACTACTGGAGGGTGCCAGCTTAGAGGGAGAGTATGTTGGCACGGTCATAGCCGCCATGGCTGTGGACTAGGTGCTGGAGATTGGCGAGGAGGAGGAGGATCAGGGCTGTGGGACTGACGAGAGATGAGGGGAAGCTTACCTGGACTTACCTGGCGTCGACACGAGTGAACTGCTGCTCGTCTCCACGAAGGTGAGGAAGTGCTGCACCTACCTCTTGTTAATTTATCACAAGCTAATATAAGTAAACCTTGTAGACGCTGTTTGATGTTGGGGTTGGTAGGTCCAGAGTACCAGCATACTAGGGCAATCCAAGAGAAACAATTTGTATCATATTCGACTCTTTCCTCCTTACCCATCAACGAAGTGTTACGTTGAAAGTCATCCTCCATAACTTAGTGCTGACGTGGAGGGAGGATGGGCGCCCTGTGATGATCTGCACAGTGATTATGTCAGAGGACGTCAGAGGGAACATGCATTGCTGAGGTGGAAGTGGGAGTGGAGGGGAGAGAGAGACATATATGTACTATTGATTATTATTGAGACTCTCCTCCTCCTCTTCTCTGTCTTTCCCCTCCTCTTTCTCTCCTCGCATGCTCTTCTTTGATGAGATGATGCTCTTGAATTGTGTATATGATCGAGATATGAGGTTGTAATTGTTTTTTGGAGACTTCATGAGGTGCGCTGGGTTCAGACTTCTATTGCATTGCGGACTAGCTTCTCAACGAGTGTAGCATATCAGAAAGTGAAATGCACTAACAGCCTAGGATCTAGCAATGATGAAAGTGGCAACAACCAGCAGCATAGATGCAACATTCACNAGAAAGGAAGGAGAGGATGGAGAAGAGAGAGTTAATCAAGCAGGCCAAGATGCTGGCCCTGGTGGAGGAGCAGGAAGCAAAGAAGAAGCAGATGGAGGAAGAGTTGCAGAAGTGGACGAGGGAGCAGGAGGAGAAGATGGCGGCTATACAAGCGGAGGTGGAAAAAGAAGAAGAAGAAGAAAAGAAGGTGGAGGAAGAAGTGTCGTTGGTAAGGAGAAGAGGTGAAGCCAACACGAGTATGGAGGAGGAGATTGAGAAGACAACACAAGAATGGACCGCAAACTTGGAATTGGGGGAAGATAGGGAGGTCGAGCTGGCCATACCCCAAGAAGAGAGAGAGGCGGCGAGGAGAGAGTTAGAGGCAGAGAGGGACCTGGTAAGGAGAAGAGCAAAGGAAGAAGAACAACAAAGGGCATGGAAGTGGCGTTTGTCCCAAGAGAAAGTCAGGCGTTTGGAGGCGGCGGAGCGAGCAGAAAGGGACCTGAAAGCGGCAAAAGCCAGGATGGGAAAGATCAGGGTTGAGACCGAGCTAGCTACTAAAGTGGAGACCCTGGCCCAAAGTGGGCACACAGGCGAATGAATGAATGGCTGGACGTTGCCTCTTTATTTATACCTCTTTGGAGGTGCCCGGGCCTGCCTCAAAACGTGTGGACCTGAGCCAAAACGTGTGGCCCAGGGAAGTTTCCAGACGTTTGGCCTTCTGGGCCAAAACGTGTGAAACCCACATCGTGCTCCAGAACCTTCCCCATGTGCAGCCCCTACCCCTGGTACTTGCTGACTGGACTGGCCTACAGGGACCTACGACCTTCTAGAGCCTACAGACTTACAGACAGACTCTAGGCCTCAGTAGACTCAGATAGAGACTTCTAGAACAGACCTTCCTATCCTAACGGTAACAGACCTAGCTCCTAATCTACAGACCTAGGGATCAAGTCCTATTGTCCAACCTACAGACTAGCCTAGGACGTGGGGCAGGTCTAGGGATCGAATCCTACTCAGGTCACTGAGTCTATGTACAGGTATAGGATAGGTCTAGGATCGAATCTCACTCAGCCCACAGGTTCAATGTACAGGGTTAGGGCACAGGTCTGGGGATCGAATCTCTGTGTCTGCAAAGTCGGGTCAACTGAGTGAAACCGTTTCACTCCCGCCATCCTAAATTTGAGGTCCTCCGAGAACACCCTAACTCAAGGTAGGACCTTTGACCTTTCTTTCCCTCTCATAGATGTGTACTATGTTGGGAGCGGTTTCTAGAAGCTCTGTTCTTATAAACCATCGGTCGTCCTCGGGTTCCTGGTATGCGAACCTAACCTTGTATTGTTTTTGGGGACGACCGCGACCTCCGGTCATGAACATGTCTTCTTCCACTATGTGATCTATGTCATATGCACCATCCATGTCTGGCAGAATCATTCACCTTTGGGAAGGAAATCTGTCGGATGTGGTGCGAGGGAGCAACTTGGACGCATGGAAGATCGGGTACGTGTGGAGGTGTGCTGGGATTTCTATCGTGTAAGATGGGCCGTCCTCTCCTCCTTTGACTTCTAGGACAGGCCATGGTCCTCTATACGCAGGTAAGAGCTTCTGCGAGATGTTTTCCTCTGGTGCGGACTCCTTTGAGTTGACCCAGACTAGATCGCCTACCTGGAACTGTGAAGGTCGGCGGCGCTTGTTAGCTTGCTCTAGCATCCGATGCTGGGCTTTTCTCAGATTGTCTATGACCTTAGCGACTTCCTGCTCATGCTGCAACGCAAACTCTCGTGTGTCGGGTGGTAGTCTCTGTTTCTGGTCCCGGTTTAGTCCCTCAAACGGTCACCTAGGTCTAAAGGACTTATGTAGCTCATTAGGAGTCCTGCAAGTTGCTAGGTGGACACTATTATTGTAGGCGCTTGCTACTTTGGGAAGCATATCATCCTAGTTTACCTGATCTGGTCTAATATACATTATGAGTAGCTGTTGCAAGATCTTATTCATCTGCTTTGTCTGGCCGTTAGATTTTCATAAGATCCTGCCAATTCTGACTAGTAAACCACATGTCCCTATCACTAACTATGGACAGCGGCAGCGGCATGCCATGCTCACTTACCCAGAAGTCGAAAAACTTACTAATGACTAAGTTTGTACGTGCCTCGGAAGGCAGGGGAACAAATACTGCATACTTACTAAATCTATCTACTATGACCACGACTTGAGTTTTGTCGTGCCTACTTCTGGCCCCAGTATCCATGAAGTCGATGGAAACTGAATCCCCAGATCCTGATGGAATAGGCAACGGTCTAAGAAGACCTAGTGGCGCTCTGGTTGTAGTCTTATTACGTTGGCATACCTTGCAGTTGCGCACATACTCTATGCAGTCTCTTTTCATACCTGGCCACATGTATGACATCATCAAGTTAGCTAAAGTCTTTTGCCATCCAAAATGCCCTTCTGTATCGTGGCATTCCCATAAGATCAAGCTACGGATCTCTTCATTGTTGGGGACACATAGTCTGTCAGCGACATTGGTCTTCTCAAACAGTAGTCCATTCGTGGTTCCGTAGTGCGGTTCGTTATCTGGGGCTTCCTTTACTCTTTTCAGCAGCTCATTGTAGATCTGGTCTTGTGCGTAGGCATCTCTTACCTTCTGCTGCAGATCGGCCCCTGTGTCTAGATAGTGCACTATCACGCCGAAGTAATCAGCTCTCCTATTCAGAGCATCGGCTACCACGTTGTACTTTCCTTTCACGGGCTTTAACTCAAAGTCATACTGGTCTATCTCAGCAACCCATCTAGTCAACATGGGCGTCATCTTGGCCTGTGGCTTTAGCCATCTAAGAGTCTCGTGGTCTGAGTAAACCTTGAAGTGCCTCCCAAGCAGGTAGTGCTTCCAGTGATCTAACGCCTGCCTGAAACGTAGAGTTCCCTCTCATATGTCGATGCTGCAACTTTCTTTGAGGGCAGCCTGGCGGGAATGAATCTACGGGTCTATAATCGTTGCCGTCATCTTGCTGCAAAACGACACCTATGCCATACTGACTAGCGTCTCTAGTAACAACAAATGGTAATGATGGATCATCAACTTTGAGGACAGGGTATTCTATTAAGGCCTTCTTCAATTTCTTGAAGGCTGGTGTACAATCTTGATCCCATCTCCAGATAGTCTTTTTCTTCAGTAACCTACGAAGGAGAGCAGCGATCGTGGAGAAGTTCCTCACAAACTTCCTATAGTAGCTAGCTAGTCCTAAGAATGAGCGCAACTCTGTCAGCGTCTTAGGAGCTGGCCAGTCTCTAATGGATGTAATCTTCTTGTCCTCAGGCCGAATGTCGTCGCCGTCTAGTACATGGCCTAGGTAAAGGACCTCTGTCTTGGCCCATTCGCACTTCTTCGGGTTAATCTTGAAGTTAGACTCTCTCAACTTGCTTAGAATCTTTCGTGGCCCTCATGTTCCTCGAGGGTTTTGCTGAAGACTAAGATGTCGTCTAAATAAACTACGACGAATCGGTTTAACCACGGTCTAAACAAGTCGTTCATGCAGCGCTGAAATGAAGTCGGTGCATTAGTAAGTCCAAACGACATCACTATGAACTCATAATGCCCATACCTTGTCTTGAACATCGTCTTATACTGATCGTCAGGATGCACTTCTATCTGATGGTAACGTGACTTCAAATCTATCTTTGAGAAATACTTGCATCCCCGCACTCAATCTAACATGTCATCTATACGCGGTAATGGCTCTGCATTCTTGATTGTAATGACGTTCAGTCCCCTGTAGTTCATACAAGTGCCTCCTTCTTTGGGACAAACAAAATAGGTGCGCTGAAAGGAGATGAGCTAGGCCTTATCCATCCATTTTTCCAGGAGCTCGTCTAATTGTCTGCGAAGCTCCTCTAGCTCCTTGGGAGACATCCTGTAGACTGCCCCCTTAGGCGTTCTACTGCCAGGTTCTATCTCTATACGTGCTGGATCGGTCGAGGCACTACTCCTGAAGGTGCTTCAGATAAGTCCTTGTGCTCTTCCAGCAGACTGGCGATAGTAGGATGGATCTTTCCTCTTCCTTTGGCTGGTCAAGAATTGGCCTAACATAGGCTACACACACCTGCTCTTAGAGTTGCTCCTTTCGCACAAGTCTGGTGAATGTAGGAGCACTGAGGCAGCAATGGGCAAGGGGATTATCTACCCCGGACTCGTGGAACAGGCGGACCTTCTTGACTTCGCCTGATGCACTAGGGAGCCTGCACTCGTGCTCTCTAAGGTGCAGTGTGGCTCCTGCTGCCTCTCCCCAATCAGTGCCTAGGACAATGTCAAACGGGAGACTCTCTTCTACGAGGAGGGTCAAGGAGTGCAGTACCTTCTCTACCTTCCCATCTTTCTCGAGGCGAAAGTAGGCGTGGACCTCCTCAACATACTCTTCAACGCGCATCCTACTACTGTCTGCAAGGATGTTGACTACAGGTTCCTCTAATCGTTGGACTTTTAGATTTAGCTTCACCTTCTTCAGCGCTCGACGAGTAATATAACTTCTAGTTGCCCCACTGTCTATTTGGGCTCCTACTCTAGCTCTAAGAATTTATACGTCTGCGAGGATCAGTTGTCCTTTACTATCCTTCTTCATCTTCGCCCAGGCTTGCCTCCTCTTTCTTAACTCTTCGACTAAGCCCGTGAGGGAAACGTCTAGAGAGACCCTAAGACAAGCCGTCTCTAGACAGCTTACTAGATGCCGGCCTGCAACCTTTGCCATGGTGATATGTGGAGTGGGAGACTCTACTTTGTGCGCACACTCAGAGCCACATACTCCTGGGCAGGGGCAGTTGCGACCCCTACCAGTGACTGTCTTTTGCTGCCCCAGACATAGCACGGTCCCTATACTTGGGAAAAAAATTTATGATGTGGCCTGGGTCCCCGCAGAATACACATGGAGAACTATTAATGCGTTCTTGCCATACTTCTTGATATATGCCCAGATCTAACTAGGGTCGGCCTTCGGGCCAGCCTGGATGCCACCTTCCCTGTCTGGGGGATGACCGACTGGAACGCAGACGGTTAGACGGGGGACCTCCCCTTCCTCCCGCTTGGCGGTTGCCGCTACCGCCAACCCCCTGGCCACCCGGTCCTCGGCCACCTTGAGCTCGGCCATTCTAGCCGGACCTTTGTCCTCCTCCTTGCAGCCTCCCTCCGGCCGCGACAGCAGCGTAGGTTCTCCCCTGACCAGCGCTATTGTCTTCGTCCTCTAGTCCCCACTCAATGTCTGAGTAGGGAACTTCCTCAGCACCACCTTCCTCCATCGTCAGAATCAAACTATCTTTGGCCTTAATTTGGTCGGAGATGGTGTGTCCCTTCCACATTTTTCCCTTTGACAGATCCCTGTGCCAGAACATGGTAACTGGCGATGCTTGGGTGGCAAATGCAACTGCCTCCCGACTAAGAGTATCATAGGTCATGCCCTGCTGATTCTTCTTCTCAAAGAAGTGTCCCTGAATATTCTCAGGGAGGGGCATGATAGAAGAGGTTAAGAAGCTGGGCATTAGTTACTCCATACCTAGGGACCGCAATGAGTTCGT